GGTGGTGTGGGGGCTGCACTTTCTCGTAGGAGCCCCACACGGCGAGTTTCAGCTGAGGAGGAGCCAGTGCCAGTGAGAGTCTGTCACCTGCCACTCCTTCCCGTCCCCTCCACCAGTGTCCACTTCTCCTTGCGGAACCCCTGTGCTTTGCCGTGTGCCACCTGAAACATTCACCGACTCTCCCTCTTCTCTCTTCCTTTTCCCCTTTTCTTTCTTTTTTGTTTCCTTATTTCTTCTTTCTTGATTGCTGAGTCATTGCTGATTCAGTTCTTCTACAGTGGGCTCAAGACACAGCTGATCCCACAATCCCATCTGAATCTGATCATGTGCACCAGCCTGGCGACACTTTCCTGGGGCTCAGCCAAGGCAGGCAGTGCTGCAGCGCTAAAAAACGTAACATGGGGCTGCCGTTGTAGCACAGTGGGTAAAGCTGCTGCCTGCGCCACCAGCATCCCACATGGGCACCGGTTGGAGTCCCGGCTGCTCCACTTCCCATCCAGCTCCCTGCTAATGCGCCTGGGAAAGGCAACAGAAGATGACTCAAGTGCTGGGGCCCCTGCACCCACGTGGGAGACCTGGAAGAAGCTCCTGGCTTTGGCTTTGCCCTGATCCAGCCTTGGCCATTGTGGCCATTTGGGGAGTGAATCAGCAGATTGAAGTGCGCTCACTCTCGCTCGCTCTCGCTCTCTCTGTGTGTGTGTGTGTGTGTGTGTGTGTGTGTGGCCCTGGCTTTCAAATATATATATGACATGTCATTTAGCCCAATTCAGTCAAGGTTGAAATCCTTGGGCAGTCACTGCCACCCATGGCTGGACGCATTTATTTTCCTTTTCCTTTTCGTCTGTCAGTTTGTTTCTCGCGTTGAAATCCTCTCCCCATCATCTTTGTGTTCCTGGTTTCTGCCCTCCCTCTTCCTACAGTTTCACGCTTCTAGAGGCACGTTACTGCTTTCTCCTTCCCCGACTTATTTATTTATTTCACGCATTTGAAAGACAGAGTGAGGGCCGGCGCCGTGGCTCAATAGGCTAATCCTCCACCTTGCGGCGCCGGCATACCGGGTTCTAGTCCCGGTCGGGGCGCCAGATTCTGTCCCGGTTGCCCCTCTTCCAGGCCAGCTCTCTGCTATGGCCAGGGAGTGCAGTGGAGGATGGCCCAGGTGCTTGGGCCCTGCACCCCATGGGAGACCAGGAAAAAGCACCTGGATCCTGGCTCCTGCCATCGGATCAGCGCGGTGCGCCCGCTGCAGCGGCGGCCATTGGAGGGTGAACCAACGGCAAAAGGAAGACCTTTCTCTCTCTGTCTCTCTCTCACTGTCCACTCTGCCTGTCAAAAACATAAAAAAAAAAAAAAAAAAAAAAAAGACAGAGTGAGCTTCCCTCTGCCAGTTCACTCCTCAGCGGGGGCTGGGCCAGGTTGCAGCTGGGAGTCAGGGATTCAGTCCAGGTCTCCCATGTGGGTGGCGGGAACTCGAGCACTCGAGCCATCAGGGCCGCCTGTCAGGGTCTGCAGCCGTGTGAAGCTGGGGCCAGCAGCCGGGCACTGACCCAGGACACGAGTATCCCAGGTAGCAGCTAAGGACTCTCCTGCGCCTGTCCCTACAGTTACAGTTCAGTGATCAATAAAATGGAAAAATAACAGCCATCAAAGTAAATAAGGGAACTATAGGGAATGGAAGGTGTTGACAACTCTGGGAAAAACATTCTGGCGAGGTGGGGGTGTGCGGCACTGTTTTCAACAGATTGATCAGGGAAGCTCACTGGGAGTTGAGGGGAGGAGGGAAAGAGGCTGGGGCCCGGGGGGGGGGGGGAAGGGAGGGCCGGGGGGGGGTTGTTCTGTGAAGAAGGAGCAGCTGAGCGGCAGCAGGCGCCTCCAGGGCTGTCACACAGGCCTGTGTGGTTGAAGCCCAGGGGGGGAGAAAGGGACTAGAGATGCCATCACAGCTGGGCGTGGGGACAAAGCAGACCCCCCCCCCCCCGGGGCCTTTCCTTCGGAAGAACTGTGGCTTTGAACTCCAGTGCAGGCTTCCCAGCGGAGAAGAGTTGACTTCTTATGTTTTTTTTTTTTTTTTTTGACAGGCAGAGTGGATAGTGAGAGAGAGAGAGACAGAGAGAAAGGTCTTCCTTTTTTGCCGTTGGTTCACCCTCCAATGGCCGCCGCGGCCGGCGCGCTGCGGCCGGCGCACCGCGCTGATCCGATGGCAGGAGCCAGGAGCCAGGTGCTTTTCCTGGTCTCCCATGGGGTGCAGGGCCCAAGCACCTGGGCCATCCTCCACTGCACTCCCTGGCCACAGCAGAGAGCTGGCCTGGAAGAGGGGCAACCGGGACAGAATCCGGCGCCCCGACCGGGACTAGAACCCGGTGTGCCGGCGCCGCTAGGCGGAGGATTAGCCTAGTGAGCCGCGGCGCCGGCCGTGATTTATATTTTTTAAAGGATCTAGAACATAGGGAAGAAATCAATCAGGAGCATATTGAAATGTGTCAGGTAAGAAATGTATGTATTTTTTAAACATTTATTTCATTTATTTTGAAAGTCAGAGTTACAGAGAGGGAGAGAGAGAGAAAGAGAGGGAGAGAGATGGATCGATCTTCCATCCTCTGGTTCACTCTCCAGATGGTTGCAACAACCAGGGCTGAGCCAGATTGAAGCCAGGAGCCAGGAGCTTCTTCCAGGTTTCCCACATGGGTGCAGGGGCCTAGGCACTTGGGCCATCTTCTACTGCTTTCCCAGTGCATTAGCAGGGAGCTGAAATGGAAGTGGAGCAGCCGAGACACAAACCATCGCAAACGTGGGATGCGGGTGTCGCAGGCAGCAGCTTTACCCATCGTGTCACAACGCTGGCCCCAAGAAATCTCTGGATTTCTGGACATCACGGGAGAAGGTTTCCCGGAAGACTCAGAATGGCCACTCCTTTTTACAGTTGAGGTTCGAGATCCTGATCTAGTGGTCGGCACTGCGGTGCAGTGGGTTAAACCTCCACCAGCAGCACCAGCATCCCATACGGGCGCTGATTTGAGCCCCGGCTGCTCCTCTTCCGATCCAGCTCCCTGCTAACGCGCCTGGGAAAGCAATGGAAGATGGCCCAAATGCCCGGGCCCCTGCACCCACATGGGAGACCCAGAAGAAGCTCCTGGCCCAGTCCTGGTTGTTGTGGCCATCTGGGGAGTGAACCAGAGGATGGAAGATCTCTCCTTCTCTGTATTTCTGCCTTCCAAATAAATAAACCTAAAAAATGAGAGAGAGGGAGGGAGAGAAAGATCCTGATCTAGGACAAATTCATTTTAGTGTCCCCTGCCCTCAAGGAAAACATGGCGAGATTGCCCTGCTGGCCGGAGGAGTGTTAAGCTCTTTGAACTGTCTTGAGTACTGGCAGGTGATCTGATGCCTGGCACACAGCGAGCGGATGACAACACAGCTTGACCACTGTGTGAAATGTTTGGGAACAGAAGTGTTTTTGGAGTTCAGATTTTTTTGTGTGGAATATCTGCATATACAGAAGGAATTATCTTGGGGCTGGGACTCAAGTTTAAAAGTGAAATTCATTTATGGTTTATATGCACTTGACACACAAAGGCTAAGTCTAAATTTGAAATTAGTTTCTATCAAATATACCTTATCCACATGGCCTGAGGGTACTTTGATATCTCTAGCAATTGCATTCGATCATTTAGTGCATAAGGTTTCATGGTCTGGAACCTTCACTTGTGCTGTCACGCAGGAGTTCCAACAGCTTTGGATTTGGGGACATTCTGGATTTCGGATTTTCCTGTTCGGATGCTCAACCTGCCGCAGGTAAAGTGTGTGTGCACGCTCTGGCGGCATTTATCACGTCTTATTTTACGCAGCAAATCTCGCAGGTGCCACACGACAAACATTCTCCTACCGGGATTGTCAGAACGCAGCAGGCACGCATGCCCTGCGGCCCTCCACCCGGGGGCTAACAAGCACCAGCTGGTCTTGGCCTCTCTGCCTCCATGGACAGTGAGTTCCTGCAGGGTTGGAACCGTCTCTCCTGGACCCCGGGGCCTGGCGCCCAGCACTTGTTCACAGACTAACAGAGAAACTGATGGTATCCACACGGGTCTGCTCCGCTTGCGTCAAATATACTCTTTTCTGCCCACCGCCGCCGGATTCCGCCGCTCAATCTCAGGGATGAGAAGGGGCCGGGGCACTGGCAGGCAGACTCAGCTCTCGGGGTGCGGGTGACAAACTGCCCCAGCTCAGGGGGCCGGTGGGGGCCCAGATCAACCGCTTCACGCAGGGTCCAGCCGGCACGGGGGCGCCTCTGCCCGGCACAGCCCCAGCTCCCTACCATGGGGGTCTCCTCCTCCTCCTCTGGGGGGCAAGCTTTGCCCCCAACCCTCTCCCCTGGGGACACCTCGGCCGGGTACCTGTCCCCGGGGACAGCCCCGCCCCGTCCAGGTTACACCCTCCGTCTGACCCCTCCTGCCACGATCGGGACCCGGAGTCAGCGCCCCCTCCCACAGGGACCCCTCCCCTCAGGTGGAGACTGCGCCAGCCCCCTCCCCACATGGAGACCCTCCCCAACAACAGGGCGCCCTCCGCCCGCGCCCTCTCCCCTGCGGGGAGACCCCGTGCCCCACAGCTGGCGGACTCCCGGGACTTCCGCCGGCGCCCCCTCCCACAGGGACCCCTCCCCTCAGGTGGAGACTGCGCCAGCCCCCTCCCCAGATGGAGACCCCCCCCCCCCAACAACAGGGCGCCCTCCGCCCGCGCCCTGTCCCCTGCGGGGAGACCCCGTGCCCCACAGCGGGCGGACTCCCGGGACTTCCGCCGGCGCCCCCTCCCACAGGGACTCCTCCCCTCAGGTGGAGACTGCGCCAGCCCCCTCCCCAGATGGAGACCCCCCCCCCAACAACAGGGCGCCCTCCGCCCGCGCCCTGTCCCCTGCGGGGAGACCCCGTGCCCCACAGCTGGCGGGCTCCCGGGACTTCCGCCGGCGCCCCCTCCCCTCAGGCGGGACTTCCGCCGGCGCCCCCTCCCCCGCCGCGTCGTCCCCTCCTGCCGCCTGAGGCGAGCCGGGCTGCGTCTGGCGCGCCGAGGCTGCCGCGGGGGCCGGCGGTCGGCGCGGGTTCCGGCCGGCCGGGCTGTGCGGGACGCGCCTCGCTCCGCCGCGCGCGCCTCCTCTCGTCCCCGCGTCCTCCGCCCCGTCGTCCTCCTCCCCGGCGCCCGGCTCGGCCGACCCGCGAGCGGCAAGATGGCGGCGCCCAGGCCGCCGCCTACCCGGCTGTCGGGTGTCATGGTGCCGGCGCCCATCCAGGACCTGGAGGCCCTGCGCGCGCTCACGGCGCTCTTCAAGGAGCCGCGGAACCGGTAACGGGCCCGGGCGGGGGCGGCCCGGGCGGGGAGGGGTCCCGGCCCCGCGCGCGGGAGGGCGAGGCCCGGGCGGCGGAGCGCCCCCGGCCCCGGACTGGGCAGCGCCTCGTCGGCGGACGCAGCGGGCGAGCAGCCGCCTCCCGGGCAGTCCTTGGGTGCGGGGCGGTCGCCGCCCAGGGGCGTGAGCGCATCCCCGCGGGCGTGGGCTGCGGCGTGGCGGCCACCCCGGCCCCGGCCCGACCGTGCCGTGGGGAGGAAAGCGGAGCCGGCCCGGGTCCGCCGTGCGTTCTCCGGGCGGAGGTGGCCTGCCTGCGGGCGGGAATGTCCAGGAGGGATACGTGACCCGGCCCAGGGGAGCCCCCAGCCAGTGCCCTGGGGTTTTGCTCGGGTCTTGCCTGCTTTCCTGGTCAGTTCCGAGGAGCAGGGGTGCGGCAGCTTCTGGCGCGGCTGTTCCAGGATCAAGTAGGAGAGGTAGCCGCGTCGTGTTCTTAGGACAGGCCAGCTAGGTGCGTGCATGTTAGCTGAGGCCGCCACGTAACTGCAGGACTGAGGGAACACTTGTACCGGGTGCTGCACAGCTGGTGCAGGGAGCCGAGATGACAGATGCCCTGTTGGGGAGGGGGTTAGGCACGGAGAGCCGAGAGGCAGCCTTGGGAAAAAGCACCCCTGGGCTAGGGTTGGGCCGGATCACCGGACTTCTCGCTGGGCGCTCCCTGCGCCCCAGGCCACAGCAGGAAGTGTGGAGCCGCAGGGTGGGTGCAGAGCCCCCGCACTGCCCCTTGGGTTTTTGGGGAGATGCTTTGTTTGGTAGGATACTCTCGGGGAGACAGGTTGATAGACAATGCTGAGGTTTTTTACAAATTTTTTATCATTTTTTTTAGGTTTACTTATTTATTTGAAAGAGTTACAGAGAGGGACTGGCGCTGTGGTGTAGCGGGTAAATCCGCGGCCTTCTGTGCCGGCATCCCACATGGGCACCAGTTCGAGTCCCGGCTGCTCCACTTCTTTTTTTTTTTTTTTTCTTGTGACAGGCAGAGTGGACAGTGAGAGAGAGAGACAGAGAGAAAGGTCTTCCTTTACCGTTGGTTCACCCTCCAGCGGACGCTGTGGCCGGCGCACTGTGCTGATCCGAAGGCAGGAGCCAGGTGCTTCTCCTGGTCTCCCATGGGGTGCAGGGCCCAAGCACTTGGGCCATCCTCCACTGCACTCCCGGGCCACAGCAGAGAGCTGGCCTGGAAGAGGGGCAGCCGGGACAGAATCCAGCACCCCGACCGGGACTAGAACCCGGGGTGCTGGTGCCGGAGGCGGAGGATTAGCCAAGTGAGCCGCAGTGCTGGCCTGCTCCACTTCCGATCCAGCTCCCTGCTGTGGCCTGGGAATGCAGTGGAGGATGGCCCAAGTCCTTGGCCCCTGCACCCCGTGGGAGACCAGGAGGAAGCTCTCCTGGCTCCTGGCTTTGGGTTGGCTCAGCTTCTGCTGTTGTAGCCATTTGGGGAGTGAGCCCGCTGATGGAAGATCTCTCTCTCTCTCTACCTGTGCCTCTGCCTCTCTGTAACTCTGCTTTTCAAATAAATACATAAATCTTTAAAAAAAAAAAAAAAAGAAGAAGTTTCAGAGAGAAAAGGAGACAAATAGATATCTTCCATCTGCTGGTTCACTGCCCATATGGCCACAACGCCTGGGGCTGGGCCAAGCTGAAGGCAGGAGCTTCACCCAGGTCTCCCACGTGAGTGCAGGGGCCCAAGGACTTGGGGGCATTTTCTGCTGCTTTCCCAGGCCACAGCAGAGAGCTGGATTGGAAGTGGGGCAGCAGGACTTGAGCCAGCGCCCATGTGGGATACGGGCGACTTTCCCGCTGTGCCACAGCGCCGGCCCCGTGCTGGGTCTATACCATGGCAGATCCTCCTTTTGTCACTAATTCAGTTGTCAACCATTTGTCGAGCACCTGTGACACAGATAGTTTGCCATACGATTCCCTGTTATCAAGCATATTGGGAACTTGCTGTGTGGTGACATTGTCCTGGAGGTGTGTCCCAGGTGTGGAGGGGGTGCAGGGTCTCTCGGGTAGACTGGGCTGGGTACCTTATGTAGGGGAGGGCTCAGGTCAGTGTTGCAGTGGGGCTGTGACTAGAGTGACGGGAGGGAGAGATCTTTCATCTGCTGTTCACTTCCCAAATGGCTGCAATAGCGGGGCTGGGCCAAGCCACAGCGTGAATTCCATCAGGTCTCCCACAGGGGTGGCAGGAGCCCCAGCGCTTGAGCCCTCTTCCGGCTGCATTCCCAGGTGCATTAGCGGGGAAGTGGAGCAGCTGGGGCTTGAACCCAGCACTCTGGTGTGGGATATATTTGTTGCAAGTGGTGGCTTAGCCTGCTGCCCTGCAGTGCCATCCCCTGAAGACTTTCTTTAAAAACAGATTTATTTGAAAGAGTGACTAAAAGGTTAGGCCATCTTCCTTGTTTCCCAGGCGCATTGGCAGGGAGCTGGATGGGAAGCGGAGCAGCTGGGCCTTGAACAGATGCCCATATGGGATGCCTGCCATAACTTTGTTTTATACTTTTGTTTAACATTGGTACCTGCATATTTTACACTTGTTTCACAAATGATTTTTTTTGCAAATCATGTTAAATCCCTCTGGAACAGAGTAAGATAGTAAATGCATTAGACTTTTTTGATCTGAGAGTTTTGTTTTGCAGCCCTCAGTTACCCGTGGTGTATCGCTCAAGCTGCCCCATGCCCACTGTTAGGAAAGAGCCAGTCCCGACTGTGGTCGTCCAAGCAGTCTGCCACACAGCAACTACTGCTTGTAGCTGCCCTGTTCCTTACGTAGCCACTAGCCATATGTGCTTCGTTAGATTTAGTTAAAGTAAGTAAAATGCCGCTTTTATAAAATATTTTTTTTTTATTTGAGAGAGTTACAGATAGAGAGGGAGAGACAGAAAGGACTTCCATCCATTGGCTTACTCCCCAAGTGGCCACAGTGTTTGGAGCTGTGCTAGGAGCTAGGAGTTGTGCTGAAACTAGGGGCCAGGAGCTTATTCAGGGTCTCCTTCGTGTGTGGGCCATGTTCTACTGCTTTCCCAGGCCACGGCAGAGAGCTGGATCGGAAGTGGAGCAGCCGGGACTTGAACCAGTGCCCTATGGGATGCCGGCACTGCAGGTGCAGCTTTATCCGCTACGCCACAGCGCCGGGTCCTGATGCAGGCTGTTTCTATCGGGGCGGAGGTTCTGTGGAGTACTGCTGCTTTGTCATTCATGTTTCGCCATGGGAAGGGTTATGTTTTGGCTCCTGTGTATTGCGAGAATATACCACGTGGGTACTCCTTGCTGAAGTTCTCACTTAGACGGACAGCTCACCGTTCTTCTGAGCCGCCTGAGAGGCTGAGCGAGCCCCCACCGTGGCTGCGGCTGCAGGCGGGTTCCCCCACTGTGCGCGCTGCATCTTTTTCCTCTGTAGGTGGTCATTTTCTTGCCTCCCTGTGGCTCCTCCTTCCTCTAACCTGTTTAGTCAGAACCTTTTCTGTTTAGTGGTGTGCTGTACTCTGTTCTTCTGAATCCGTTACCTGTGAACTCTGTTCTCTCTCTCTCTTTTTTTTTTTTTTTTAATTTTTTGACAGGCAGAGTGGACAGTGAGAGAGACAGAGAGAGAGGTCTTCCTTTGCTGTTGGTTCACCCTCCAATGGCCGCCGCAGCCAGCGTGCTGCGGCCGGCGCACCGCACCTATCTGAAGGCAGGAGCCAGGTGCTTCTCCTGGTCTCCCATGGGGTGCAGGGCCCAAGCACCTGGGCCATCCTCCACTGCCTTCCCGGGACACAGCAGAGAGCTGGCCTGGAAGAGGGGCAACCGGGACAGAATCCGGCACCCTGACCAGGACTAGAACCCGGGGTGCCGGCGCCGCAAGGCGGAGGATTAGCCTAGTGAGCTGCGACGCCGGCTTGAGTGATGCTTTTTGAATGTCTTTCATCAGTCTGGGAAATTGTCAGCCAGTATTTCTTCAACTATTGTTTCTTTCCCTTCTCTCCTTTTTTTTTTTTTTTTTTTTTTTTTTTTTTTGACAGGCAGAGTGGACAGTGAGAGAGAGAGACAGAGAGAGAAAGGTCTTCCTTTGCCGTTGGTTCACCCTCCAATGGCCGCCGCTGCAGCCGGCGCACCGCGCTGATCCTGGCAGGAGCCAGGAGCCAGGTGCTTTTCCTGGTCTCCCATGGGGTGCAGGGCCCAAGCACCTGGGCCATCCTCCACTGCACTCCCTGGCCATAGCAGAGAGCTGGCCTGGAAGAGGGGCAACCGGGACAGAATCCGGCGCCCCAACCGGGACTAGAACCCGGTGTGCCGGCGCCGCAAGGTGGAGGATTAGCCTATTGAACCACGGCGCCGGCTTCTCTCCTTTTCTATAAAGATTTGTTTATTTGAAAGGCAGAGTTACAGGGCCGGCGCCGTGGCTCAATAGGCTAATCCTCCACCTTGCGGCGCCGGCACACCGGGTTCTAGTCCCGGTTGGGGCGCCGGATTCTGTCCCGGTTGCCCCTCTTCCAGGCCAGCTCTCTGCTATGGCCAGGGAGTGCAGTGGAGGATGGCCCAGGTGCTTGGGCCCTGCACCCCATGGGAGACCAGGAAAAGCACCTGGCTCCTGGCTCCTGCCATCGGATCAGCGCGGTGCGCCGGCTGCAGCGGCGGCCATTGGAGGGTGATCCAACGGCAAAGGAAGACCTTTCTCTCTCTGTCTCTCTCTCTCTCACTGTCCACTCTGCCTGTCAAAAAAAAAAAAAAAAAAAAAAAAAAGAAAGGCAGAGTTACAGAGAGAGGGAGAGACAGAAAGAATCTTCATCGGCTGGTTCACTTCCTGAATGGCTGCAGTGGCCCACGCGGAGCTAGGAGTTTCTTCAGGGTCTCACACATGGGTGGCAGGAGCCCAGGTGTTTGGACCATTTTTCGCTAGCTGGATTGGAAGTGGAGCAGCCAGGACTTGAGTTGGCACCGTATAGATGCCAGTGTTGTGGGT